AATTCATATCTTCAGAGAGCAACTAATCATAATCCAATAAATAATACTAATTATAAATAATAATAAATAATAATATAAATGAATAATAAGAAGAATAAATAAAATTATAAAGAAATAATTAATTAAAAATATTAATAATCTAAATTAATAACTATAATACACATAATAATTATCTAAGTAATAATATGCTAAATCTTGATATATTAAATACATAATAATCATTTGTATATCCAGAGTGAAAATGATCTTCTTGAAAATATAATATAAAACTAATTTATTATACAAATAGCACAAAATGAAGATCTAAACTAAAAGAGATCTAAAGTAAGATAACCTAATCAAAATTATTATAATAATATTATTAATATATTAATAAAGTTTAATTTAATTAATTAATTAATATAAGTTTAAATTAATAATTATTTAATTCAGATTAACACATAATATTAGTCTGAATTATTTAATATTAATTAATAAAATAAATTTATATGATAAAATAATTATATAATTTCAAGCAAAATATATAAAAATATTTAGTTTTAAATAGCTATAACTTTTTATATAAAATTTTTTTTAAAAATCTGACTGATAACTTAATAGAACTTATTCTAAAAAAATAATATTATCAGTTAGTTTTTTTAAATTTTATCTTTATAAAGCTCTAAAAAGATTTAAAATTATATGATTTTATTATTAAATTAAGATTTTTTATACTATATACAAAATTTTTTATAATTTATTAAATTATTATATATAGATTTCAAACTAAAAAATTTATTTAAACTATTAATATTATCTTAATTATTATTAATAATTAATATAATTTAGATAAATTAAATAAATTAGTTATTATAAAAAATATTTAATCTATAATAAATATATATATATAAGTTGATATAAAAAGATTTATATCTCAGATAAATATTAATAAATTATTTTTTCAAAATAAAATTTTAATTCTATCTTATTTAATTAAGTTATTAAATATTGAAATTTATTTAAATATAAAATTTTTTATTATATATCTTTTATAAAAAAAATTTTATTAATAATAACTTTTTTAATTATTATTTCTTAAATTTTACTATATAAAATTTGATTATAAATATTATATAGTAAATAATTTAATTACTTAACTTTGAATTTTAATATCTTTATAACTATCAATTTAATTTTTATGAAATTTAAAATATATATTTATTAAATCTAGAACAATCTGTAATCTGAAGTTTTAATATTATAAATTGATAATACAGTGTGTGACACTTAAAGATGAAAATTAAATTTAAAAACTTTAAAAAGTAATGGAGGATGGTATAATGGTAGTATAAAAAAAAGAAGACCGCTATTTTGAAGCTAAGCTAATTTACTACAAATTGTCAGCCTTCTTTTTTAAAAATAATTACTTATTTCTAAGTTATATTCATTTAAAAATATCTTGTTTTATATGTTCAGAGTGATAAGCGGCCAAAATGGGACACAATTTCTTTACGTACCTTTATGATCGACCAATCAAATTATGAAACACATGAAATCCAATTTTATTGGTTGATCATAAATCACGTTTTTTAAATTAATTTGCTCGTCACATGTATTTTGGGCGAAGTTTATTTAATTAAAGTATGCCTCAGCAAAAGAAACAATTTATCAGACTTCAAGAATATAATAATGAAAGAAGAAAACTAGCCCAAGAAAACCAGGAAAAAGAAATTTTAGGAGAGGAGAGAATTTTTGAAGAAGAAACTATTAAATTTTATGAAGAGAAGGGAGAAAATAAAGTAACTGATAGGGCTAATGAAACTGCCAAAGAGGAGAAAACTAACAGAACTGACAAAACTGACAAAACTGATGAAGAGGAGAAGAAAATACGGACATGCCTACTTATAACTTTGGTATGGAAGAATGCAGAAAGAGAGAATACAAGAATAATAAAAGGAATACTAAAAATAATCTATTATCGTAAATTTGGCACTTCCAGTTCACTTGCCAAGACTGCCAAGAGAATACATAAAATTACTAATTTTTTCACCAGTGAGTCTTTGGCATTTTCAGCAACTTTGACACATACATTTTCCATATTTACATCCTTCGAGTCTTTGGCACTTTCAGTAGTAGATAAAGATGATGCAGAAGTAATACTTTGCGAAAGAATTGCTCAACTTTGGAACAAACTTCTTGAAAATGGACAAATTTTCACAGCTTTTGAGTACAACAGACGGCATGCTGTTTATGAGTATTTAATATGATTAAACGACAATAGAAAAATGAAAGCTAGCCAGGAAGCTGCGGATATGGTCTATATCGCTCCAATATCATGTACAGCTAAAAAAATTCATTTTTTGGCCAAATTTTATCTGCAATATGAATCATTTCCACTCTCAAATCGTGGTTAACACCAAAAATACAAGCGACTTGTCAATGATGAAGATATAATATTAGCTTGCCACCAATGGATATGATAAGAATCAGGAGTAAATAGTATTAATTCGTCCCAGTTTAAACAGTATATTGAAGATGTTATTCTGCCAGAACATATGAATACCAGAAAAATGATTAGTTTGCGAACAGCCAAGAGATGATTGAATATCTTGGGTTATCGATTTGAGCAATATCAGAAAGGAATATATTTTGACGGACATGAATGAGAGGATATTATTGCATATCGAGAAAATTTTTTAAAAATAATAGAAAAATTAGAATGACAAATGACGAGATATGAAGGAGAAGTAATGAAAATGATTCTGTCGGCACTTGCAATAGGTGAGCGAGAATTAATTTTTGTCACTCATGATGAGTGTATTTTCTATTCAAATGATGGAAAAAGGAGAATTTGGGTGGCAAACGGACAAATGTCATTGTGAAAAAAGAGGAATGGGAGATCGATTATGGTAAGCAAATTCCTTTCAGAGGTATGTGATTATTTAAAACTAAGTGAAAAAGAATCGACCAAACATCCAAATATTCCTACTGAGGCACGTTGTTATCTTGTACCTGGCAAAAACCAGAAAGATTATTGGACTGTTGAGCATCTACTAGAACAAATCAAGCACAAAGTAATTCCTATTTTTGAGGCGAAGTTTCCTAATGTAACAGCTATCTTTGTCTTTGACAATAGTACCAACCACGTAGTATATACGAAGAATACTCTTGTTACAAGAAGAATGAATCTGGGTCCTGGAGGAAAGCAACTGATTATGTGATCAACAACTTTTATTGGTATTGATGGATAACCAACAACCCAACAAATGACATTTACTGAAGATTACCCCAACCCTGCTTTACGAGGAAAATCAAAAGGAATAAAGAGAATATTGCAGGAAAGAGATCTTTGAAAGAAAGAGTTGGTTTTAAATTATCAGATGTGTAAGAACAAGGAGTTAGCAGAGGAACCTCCACGAGTAGACTGTTGCGTGAGAAGAATTATAGTCTCTCAACCCGATTTTATAGCACAAAAGTCAGCCATTATGGAGTTAATTGAAGATGCCGGCCATTTATGTGTTTTTTATCCAAAGTTCCATTGTAAACTTAATTTTATTGAGATGTATTGGGGTGCAGCTAAGCACTATATGAGAAACCACTGTGATTATACGTGGGCTGACTTGCAAGAAACCATTTCACGAGTACTTGATTCTATAAACATTGTTATAATTAGGAAGTTTGCTCAAAAATCATGAAGATACATGTAATTGTATCATGAAGAGTTAATAGGAAAATTAGCAGAGTATGCGTGTAAGAAATTTAGGTCACATAGACGGATTTCACAGAAGGAATTAGATGAGTTTATGATTAGTGAGAAATAAGTTTTGGATGACGAATGTATGTATTTGGATGGTGGGAAATGAATGTGTATATTTGTGTAGGTGATAACAAACATATGTTGGGTGGGATATGAGACAAGAAAGGTGAAAGCAAGATATTTTTATTATAATAAAGACTTTTTTGATCAGGATAATAATAAGATGCTTATTATAATCATAATTATGATATTGTGATACATATTATAATAATTGCATATTACATATGTAATACACGTGATATTATGAAAATCATGTGTATTCAAAAAAATATCATAAATCAACTTTTTAGCCAAATGTAAATTTTGGATTTTGAAAATGGGACAAATCACGTGATTTACATCTTTAAGTGTCGCTCACTGTAATAATAATATTTAAAATATCTTTTTTTAAAAAAATAATTTTATTTTAATTTCTTTTTAATAAAGTAATGCTTTATTCATTATTAAATTAAAGTATAATAAAATAGTTAAAATAATATAAAAAGTTAATTTAGATTATTTTTTATTTAATATAAAAAAATTATAAAGATTAATTAAAATTTGAATGATTTTTGTTAGAAATAATTATTAATTTTTATATTGAGGTACAAATCTTTTTGTATCAATCCATAATATATATTAAATATCTGTTTTAATATATATATTGATAACTCTAATATATAACTAATAATAAAAATCAATATAAATCACTCCAAAAAATTTTCTGATACAAGTAAGTTAATCTCATTATTGATAAACTATTGCTTTGCTTCTTTGAAAATATGTTTGGAATTATTATCTTGCTGAAAGATAAAATTCATATATGCCAAGCATCATCTTTCAGACTGTGTCTAATAAATTAGTATTTAAAATATTAATATAGACATTAGCGGTGATATGATCTTTTAAAGGTTTGTCAGGCTTCTTCCAACAGTACTTCCTTCCGGCTGACCCCAATAGTTAGAACTTGCTTTCATCAGAGCAAACTATACACTTCCAATCGTTGGATGACCAATTTCTGTATTTCTTCACCCAATTTAATCTCTTTCTTCAGTGAGTTGTATTAAATAAAGGCTTTTTTCACCTTAGTAATTTTTTCACGCTCCTTTCCTTTTTTTAAATTGGATGTTTCTCGTAATTGATGAGTTTTTGGTTTTCTCGCTGATCCTGAAAATTTTTGGTAAGTATATTGTGAATACTGATTTCGGATTTTCATAAATCTTACCTTTAAAACCGTAGCTGTATAAGTCGATGTCGTATTTTTTCGCGCCTTGTTTTTGGTAAATAGTGAATGTTACATTTGTCTTTATAGCTACATAATATTGCGTTAAATCTTTCTTGAAATCATCGATTGTAGCCACGGATAATTTGGGGCTCGAGTTTGATCAAATTCTACAAACTCACTTTATTTGTTCGTAGGGAAAAACTTATAAAAAACTTATTTTTAATGACCGCAAAGGTGAGGAAAACCAAACTAAATTTATAAGCAAAATTCAACCATCCTAAAACTTTCAATTCTCACGCAATCCCATCTGAAAGTTTTATCTTCCTAAAAAGTTTAATTTTTTTCAAAATTCCGAGAATTGTCCAATCCTTATCTTTCGTTTTATCGAGATATTCTGTTATGGTGGATTCAAACATCTAAAAATAATTAATGCATCTATTAGTCATTTATCCGTTTTAATAAAAGAGACATGGTAATGTTTACAGTCAACTGTTTACTGGAAACTGCATACTGGAATATATGCCTTAAACACGTATGCTTAAGGGACGCCCAACAGACTGCCTCTAGACATCTGAACGCAGGAAGATATACCTAACGACAGTAGGTATAGTGAACGCATCCTGGAAAACAGCATACTGGGACATATGCCTTAAACACGTATGCCTAAGGGAAGCCCAACAGACTGCCTCCAAACATCCGAACGCAGGAAGATATGCCTAATGACAGTAGGGATACGCGTGACTGTAAACTTTACCAGGATTCAAAGAATAGAAGAAGAATAACCTTATTTTTTTACGTTATAAAAATACGCGTCAGTGAAGCATAGAGCAAGTTTGATTTTATTTTGGTTAAACAAAAAATGATCGTCATTTATCAATACGCGTAATTAAGTAATTTGATTGGCTAATAAATAATAAAGATGTTTTTACTATCAACGCGCGTTGTAATTTTTGAAAGATTTTATTGAGTTTTCTTTAATACAATATGATTCCAAAAAATGAAGGCCCATGTTCAGTGCGAAAATGTGATACAAAACTAGGTCGGTTTCGCAAATTTACAGCACTAGCAAGCATATGAAAAAGCTCAAAAAAAAAGGGATAAAAAAAAGAGATCGAAAAAAAAGGGATCATGCCTATCTAAAAATCGGGAAATCAACTGTGCCATAGACATAAATAAAAAATATATGGTTTGATGCAAAAAGATTGGTACACCAATATTATCCCTGAAAATTTTTCCATATTGGATGGTGATTGAATTGGCAATCCAACTTATATAAAACTAATTGTAAGAGACATATTTTTTCATTTTCAACCAATTTAGTGATTTTTCTTTTGTATTGTAACCAATCACCTATTCATGTGGCGCAATAGACGTGGCACAGCATATGGCGCAGCCGCAGCACGTGGCGCAGTAATCGCCGATCACTACTAAATCAGGCAAATAAGTAATTTATA